GATACGAGCCTGAATTACATTACAAGTTTTGCTTTCTTGTTTGAACATATGTGATCGTATCCTTTTTCTTCCTTTTCCTTTTTTGTTTTTATGATATTTTTCATCTTCGAACATGTTCATAGAAAATCCAAGAACTTTTTTTTTTTCTTTCCTTTGTCACTTTCTTAAGCCTAAAGGCACTCTTTAATTCTCAAGTGTCTACCAAGTTGTACTAGAGACAACTCTTCCTTTTTGTGTTTCAAAGTGTGCTTAAAATCTCTCCAGGATGGGGGAATTTACCAATGATACTTGTGACAAAAATGGATTCATCCATTTGCATCTTGTGTTGTTCAAATTGGCCGAAAATCCTCATGAGTTGATTCTATTTTTTGTTTAAAGGCCTTGAATCCACCATTTTGTTCTTATTGAAATTACTCACAAGGAGCTTCTTACTAGAATCATCATCTCCCATGTATTTGGATTCAGATTCTTTGTAGATTCATGATTTTGATTGTGATCAAAGAGAGAGTCCGACATATCATTCAAAATATTCCTACAACACACACACACACACACACACACATATATATATATATATATAATCATCAGTTTCCCTCTTGCATCTTCTTCTACTATGGTCACAGGTTTCATCCTACATTGGTTATGGTGCACGAGTGCTTAACACGTGAACAATCTTCAGAGTGTTGACAATGAAATGCATCTTCATTTGCAAACAACAAAAATCAGTGGCCTCAAATTTCTCTAGTTTCTAGAATTTGTAACTAATGTCCCTGGCACATTCTGTCATTGATATTCTTCATGGAGTCATAAAACTTAATGTTAGATATTTTTTATCTAATAATATAATATGTAATTGGATAATTTTTAGGATCATGATTGCAATCACTTTCCCAAAATCTGTGATTTCAAGCTTTTGTATGGGGTATCAAGAAATCTAACTTACGATATTCCAAGAGACATAATTTAGAAGCCATGCAACTTCCAAATATGAAACATAGAAATACGTTGTTGTTTTGTGTTTTTGAGAGACAGAGATAATCTTATGATCAAATTTGATTATGAGAAAAACAACCTTTTTCGTGGAAGATTCACAATGTTCTTATAAATGGAAGAAACTAGTTAACGGTGGTTATGCATTTTGGCACTAAAATGACGGTTGGGAATATGGTTTTCAGACATAACCAGTTATTACATCATAATGATGTCACCACTTGTTTGTGTCAGTAAAATATATGTTCAGACTCTTTCATAATATATAGTATAACATCATAATGATGTTACCACTTGCACCAGTAGGGACGTTGTCGCTAGACCCCGCTGCCACATAGCACCATGTACCCATGTACGTGGTCCCAAACCTCCGTATTCCTGAGTTCACATTTCTTACTCCAAATGTGCACCCCACACATTATGTCTCGGTGAGTAATGGTGTTCAGCCTATGTCAATATTAATAACAAAGCCAATCTCAATATTAATAATAATATCAACTATAGTAATATATGTTGATAATACGTAAATCATCAACAAAAAACAAGAGCTTTTTTGTTTGATGCTTTAAGATGTTTGGAGACATTGAAAACCATTAACATTTGATTCCATAAGGTTTTTACAGTGCTGGTAAAAAGAACCATGGTAATAGAACTAGAGAAGAAGAGGAAGAAATCCGGAAAAGAATGAGAAGGTCGACAGTGTCCGTTAAGGTTTTAAAGATGAGGAAAAAAATTATAATTATCTATAAGGAAATAATATATTGCTTTCATATCATAAATCTTCATTCTTAATAAAAACCTCTCCTACATGCCACATGTCCATCTTTTAGAGAAACTTTATGCCGCGTGTCATGATTAAATAGTTGTTCAATGTATTTTTCTTGCCCATCCCTTTTATGTGAAAATTTTAAAATCAAATTTTAAAAAATAACGGAACTCAAGCAAGTAATTTGAAAACCAAATTCCTAAATCTTAGGCCAATTTGAAAAGAAAGATTCTACACTTCCAACTTTATGCAAGAATCAGCTCCTAAATTACCAATATTTTCGTCATGATTACAAAGAATGACAATGATAAAGGTAATCTCAGGAAATCAGCTCCCAAATCCTTCTCTTTCCTTTGAAACCTTTAATTAATGCTTCCTAATCTTCAAGCCCCATTCTCCAACAAAGCTTGAAACTTTTGAACTAAAAACAATAAAGGGTAGACGATTTATATCTGATGCTTTGCAACAAGGAATAGGCAAGTTGAAGGAGAACGGACAATTACAAGAACCTTTTTACACATATGCTCTTCTTCTCCAAGGTTGTAGACACCGTTCGATTCTTTGAGCACATCATCTTAATCCTTTGATTCATCGATCGATTGTTGAACATTCTTCCACGAAAATCGACGATCCCTCAACTTCTTCAAATATTCAAGTAAGATTTTTCTTTTCTCAAGATTTGATATCGATTTTGAGTTTTGTTTGATGTCGATTTCAGGTTTTGTTAATTAAGGAACAAAACACCTTTATTTGATATGATTTTATGACTTCAAGCTTGATTTTCATCTAGTGCGCCTTTATTTATAGGAGCCGATCGGGTTTTTCTGACATCCCCATTTTCACGGCCAAAAAATACCGATTTTGTTTATGCTTTATAAAAATCAGAATACTTCTTTTTCATAAAAATGTTGCGGAAATTGTTCCCAGAAAATACGATAAATACGTTATCAAAATATTTTTGAAGAAACGTATTTTATTCATTTTAAAAAGTTTGGGATGTCATCGTCAATACAGACACATAAGCATAAACAGAACTTACATTTATTTACACTAGTGATCTACATCTCTGTAATCTCTCAGTGTAATGTGAATTCATATCAACACCTATGATATAAATAAACTGAGTGGGTCAGGTTGGGAAACCTGGTTAGTACATAGGGTTTTCAACCCACAATAATATAATTATTATGTTTAAACAATCAAACAATCAACCCAATTACCCATCCCCATTATCTTCTTTAATCTTAAGGATCTGCCCTAAGAATCAGCTATTCCTCGTTCATTCATTCCTAAGGATCATCCTAAGGAATCGGCACAAAGTCCATCGTTACCACGGTTTACACAACGGGCACTAAGTCTGCATAGTCATCAGGGTTTAGGCATCAAGTCTGCATGATCACCAAGGTTTAGGCATCAAGTCGGCATGATAACCAGGGTTTAGGCATCAAGTTTGCATGATCATCAGGGTTTAGGCATCAAGTCTGCATGATCACCAGGGTTTAGAGTACACCGGGTGAACATAACGTTCACAACACCTACAAGTTGCGAGCCTGCTAGTGTTCCACTGGACTGTCTAGAATAGGTCGTGGTTGTCATCCATACTCTGCTGAATGACGGGGCCATCATTTGGGAAAAATGCTTCTAACATCGTCCACCTCTCACCCTCACCTCGTGGTCTATAACACCTCTCAACTCATCATTCAACTCAAATTCCATCTATTATATCTACCCATGTTTACCCCAACATTATCGTAGATATAAAATACATATACAGTTTAAATAATTTAAAACATGTATAAAATCGTTCATTTAGCATAGACAAAAAGTACTTAGATAATATGCACACATAGCATGTAATTTATATAAAATACTTCATATCTATGTGTAAGATGAAAGTAACTATGCACTCACTTGAAAAGGTGGTGATTCCGAACTCAGACAGCGCTTCACTTTTTGAAAAAAAAATAATTTCCTTCGACGAAACCTAGTATAGTTACCAGTAGAGTTTAGTCTATTATTCACCGAGACTAATTAATAGTCTAGCTATTATTACTATTATATAACCATTAAATAATACTTATATAACCCATAATAATAGCCTAATTACTTATTATATGTTCTTAATAACGTTAATATAATTAAATAAAAACTATATTAAAAATAGCGTAGGCGTAGCTCATTTACAACGGGTTTTATAGAAAACTATACTTTGCTTGGAGCAGCATTCCCATGCGGAAAAGCTCTTCTTCTCGGAGCTGTCGAGCACTCAGGGGCTTCCGCCTTGTGCTAGGGAGGTTCCCTAGGCTTTTCGGGGGGAGAGGTTCTAGAGAGAGAGAGAGTAAAGAGAAGAAAGAATGAGAAAGGTGCGAAGAAAATGAGGGTGGGAGAGGTTCAATTTATAGGGTGAAAATGGCTGAATTTAGTGTCACCATCTAGTGGCAAAACTTGGGGAGAAAGCAATGACCAAGATTGTGCCGCATCACCCATTTTCGCACAACACACTTCCGACTTCTAAAATCCGTAACTTTCACATACGACCTCTGTATTTGACGTTCTTTATGTCCACACGTAGGTAAAAATAATATCTACAACTTTCATTTTGACTTCGTTGGCTAATTCTCGACCAATCTTAAATTTAACAGTACGAGGCGTTTACACTGTTAAATGACCGCGAAGAATTCGTTACTCCTTCATACGAACTCTGTTTTCGTCTGTCTTTTTACTGTTAAGTTCCTATTAATGAGATCTTCAACTCTCATTTAAGTCACATAAGCCAAAAACCGCTCGAACTAAAATTCGAGTTTCGGGACGTGCACTGCTAAGCCGAATCTTAGAAAAATCATAACTTCTTCATACGAAGTCAGAATTGGGCGTTCTTTTTATGGATTTTCTCGGTTTAACATATTCTACGAATTTCGTTTAGATCACTAAGGCTAAAAAGTACTCCATCGTAAAATCACTATTTACGCTTCCCGGTGCCGTGCCGGTTCCGTCGCGAAACTTCGACAGGTCATAACTTCTTCGTTATAACTCGGATTTCAACGCTATTTATATGTATGGAAACTATGTGACATATTCTACAACTTGGTTAAGATTATTTATTCTAAATAATCTTTTGTCGAAAACTCATTTTCGACCCTTATTACCTCTAAATTGACTAGCCCAGATCTCCGAGCGTTATAGTTTTGTTCAATATCTACAGTGATTTTTTATTTAGGTTTTTTTATTTGATGATTTTGAAGCTATGTTGAAATTATACCCACATGATTGTTGTTCACTATCGATTCATACATGTGTTGGGGATTTAACTTCCAAGAATTTGCAAATGAAAGCCATTGGAGAAGCTAATATCGGTAGCTTGTTGCATAAAATTAAACCACCACTACTCGAAAATGAAGGTCTTGAGGATTGTACACTTTCTCCGGACTCCATACAAGAAGCCTTCCTGAAGACAACAACCACTGTCCACTCACATATTTTCCATCATTTCGATGATGAATCAGAAGGAGATTAAATCAACGATCCATAGCCTGGAAACGAATCTAGAGGTGATAGACTCATCGTAACCACAACCGAGGCTGATCCTCCGGTCATTTGTGATCCAAAGAAAGGCGGTGAGTTGTCGGAGGTGAAGGAGATGAGGTTGTTACCACCGATAGGGAGGATATTCCAGATAAGGTAGTGGAACTAGAGATGCCTGAGGAGGCAGAGAAGTCATGTGTTGACGGACTACAAGGATTAAAAATCGGAGACAAAGGTTAACGGAGAAATCAAAGGTAAGAAATCTGGAAGTGATAAGAAATTATACGAGGATGATGAAGAAGACGATGAGAGAATATCAGTTTTAGACGAAGTTTGTATACGATTAGACTGTTTGACCTTATGCTTGTAGTAGCACTGTAGCAGTAGTTATGTAGTATCTGTTATATGTTTTTTACAATGAATCCTTCAAATTGTGGTTCAAATTATATGATAAACTATGGTAAATGTTTTAGTTGTTTTTAAGATTTACTTTGTGTTTACTTAATAGTTGATCTTGATACTTCTTAGGTACTAATGATGCTTGAATGAACCAAATGGCAGATGTTCATGTTTGGAAATATGTGGTCTGGATTGATGTCTTTGTCTTCTTCCTTGTATGTTATGCATCATTATTTTTTGGTAAATACGTTACTTAACATTATTATATTTTTTTCTTTATGAAATAAGTTGAATTTAATATATTTTACTCTGTAATTTACACTTTGGTCCCTGCAATTTTCGTTGGTATCCTACACAACGTCCGAAGTCCTATATGGAAGCTACGTTAACAAGCATATATCTTCTTTAATCGTAGAATTTGCATTGTACTTTTGTTTATTTGTTTATTAAACTTATGATGGTTTTTTATTTAAAAAGGAGATGCGGGAGGTGTGGATGAGGTTATTTCTTCATAAACTAATAAACAAATATACTATTGTTTCCATTTGGAGTCTGTGATTAAGTCTAATGGGTATTCAATCTCTCATCAGTAAAATAGTTATCGAACTTGAAACAACATTGAATTGTCTTGGGAAACCCATTGCTACAAATTCTAGAGTAAGCATGATCAATATTTTCAAGGTTAGTCTTTTCGTGTGAAGTGGTAACTCTATGGATCTTTTGAAGGGTAAATTATAGTATTGTGTTTTTTTTATTAACGGTGGTTTTTATATTTTGATAAAACTACCCAGTTATAGCAATGAAAACTATTATATTTTGATGGTGTTGCTATACTTGGTAAAATTTTAAAGTACAATGTTTTGATATGATGAAATAAAAAATAGAATGTTGTAATAAACAAATTGCAAGAGATACCAACATCATTATATTTATTTATATGTTACAGCATCCTAATTTTGTTTTTGTTTTTCATATTTTAACATTGTACTTTTGGGGTTTTTTTTTTCTTATTTAGGCATTTTGTCTTCAAGCATTCAACTATAGTATTGTATTTTTCAATAATGTGTAAACTATTTTGTATGTGCTATGTTGTAATTGGTAGAATTTTTTTTGTTAATAGTTGATAAGGAAAAAATAATTGCATGATTTAATACTACAATAAACAATGTTTCATGCATTTACCCTGTTTAAGAATCAAATTAATATATGGCATGTTGTTTTGTTATAATATCCTTCTTTTAGTTTTGAAAAGTACGATGCTATAGTCGTAAAAAAATATAAGTAAAATACTATGACAAAACAAAAAATAACAAGGTACTTATGTTTAATTGTTTAATATAACATCTTAATTTCATTTTATTTTTCTTTTTCCATATAACACGTCTATAAATTACTTTTATTTTATGTTTCTTAAAAATATAATAGTAATGTCACTTACTATTTACTATATATATTATTTTTATTTACTAAACCGTGTAGTACACGAGTTATAACCTAATAGTGAATATTTTCGTGTAATCCAACCCTTTCTCATTATCGAAATATATATATAGGAAAGATACAATTATTCAGTGGCCGAGATAAATAAGCCAAGGGCCGAGATATACATGATTGGGCTTTATTGTATAAAAGTCCCTTAAATGTGTTGAAAAGAAAAAAGTAAAATAAAAGTAAAGATAATTAATTGTCTCTGCAAGTTGAATCTTGTGGTCTATAAGTTTACCTTCTCCCATTCATTTGTAACACACAAAAGCACAATGGAAGCTTTGCCCAACAGGTATCGCGACGCTCTCTCGCGCGTCTAAATTTTGAGCGAGAATAGCATTTTGTTCGTGTCTCTTCTACGTTTAACCTATTATCAACTTGAATTCTAACATTACACTTGTTATCTTACAGATTAGAAGGCAAAGTAGCCATAGTTACCGGTGGTGCTAGCGGCTTCGGTGAAAGCACGGCGAGGCTGTTCACTAAATACGGCGCAAAAGTTGTGATCGCCGACGTCCAAGATGACCTGGGAGTTGCTCTTTGTAACGATCTAGTGTCTGAATCAGGCGACAATGTTATCTACGTTCATTGTGACGTCACACAAGAATCTGACGTAAAGAATGCCGTGGACACTGCCGTTTCCATGTTCGGTAAGCTAGACATCATGTTTAACAACGCCGGAATCCCGGGGAACTTGGATTTCAAGATCTTAGAATCTGATAACGAAAACTTCAAACGGGTTTTTGAAGTCAACACGTTTGGATCATTCTTGGGAGCTAAACATGCTGCTAGGGTTATGATTCCGGCAAAACGTGGAGTGATTCTGTTTACTTCGAGTATAGCTTCGGTGGTTTCGGGCGAGTCACCACATTCTTATACAGTGTCGAAACACGCGGTGGTGGGATTGATGAAGAATTTATGTGTAGAATTAGGACAATACGGGATTCGGGTGAATTGCATTTCACCTGGGTCTGTGTCGACGCCGCTGCTAACGAATGCAATGGGGTTGGAGAAGACAGCGGTGGATGATATTGTGTGTGCTTCGTCAGTGTTGAAAGAGGTGGTGCCGACGGCTGAGGATATAGCGGAGGCTGCAGTGTATTTGGGGAGCGATGCTTCGAAGTTTGTCAGTGGGATTAATCTTGTGGTGGATGGAGCTTACAGCACCACCAATCCGACTTACACTAAAATAATTAAACAAACGTTTGAAGCCTTTGGCAAAAAAACATAATCGCTTTAACCCTATCTTTTATAGATAATATTCTGGAGTTCAATTTAAAATGTTCTTAACGGCTTAAAAACTATGATGTTAAAATCATCTACTAATTCCTTTTATTTTATGTTTTTATGGAATAAATTGTATGTGTATCCAAAAATATTTCAAACTCTTGCATGTAGTAGAAATTGTTTTTTTGTGTGATTGGTAAATACTAACTAGTACCTATGGTTGATGGCTATGGCCGGTAGCTAGAAGTGGAATGTTGGTACTAGGAGGTGTAACTTTTAATTTTTTATATGAATATTTATTTAAAGTTAATTGAAAGCTTTTGAAAAAATTACATAAATAATAATTGTTTAAAAAATATAAATACACAAATATATTTTTAATGACTAATTTTGAAAATTAATTTAAAAAACCCAATAAATTTTTCTTAAAAAATACATGAAATAGTTTTAAAATTTAGTGATTTGTGTTTAAACTAAAAGTTTAATGATTATACAACAAATTAAACTTTTTTTTTTGTTTAAATCTCATTATTTTTCAAATCAAAACCACTATTAGTTTTAAAATGTTACTTCCAATATATATTTAAGCTTAAAAAAAGATTTGAAGTTTTATTTTTAAATATGCATATATATATATATATATATATATATATATATGCATGTATTTATATTTACTGTTTTTATCAAAAACATTTCGAAACCATCACAACAATAGGACTCCAACACTAGCATTTAAGAAAATCGCAACTTAAAAACATCAAAAACAATAGAAAAAATAAATGTGCATAGATGCACTTTTAGATGCGCATTTATGCACATTGCAAATAAATAAATAAATAAATAAAATTTCATCAAATCCTTTTTGGAGCATTGATCTCTCTTAGGCTAAGGGGGCTGGTCATCACCAACTCACTAGAAAAATGATGTCATCTCATCGCTATATCAGCTTCATTACATGCTCATTATCAAACCACTAGTCTTTGAAAATGTTACCACTTCACATTATTTATTTATTTACTTCGATATTAAATTAAATGATAATAATAATTTAAAACATAATGTTTAGCCAATAACATGTGAAGAAACGGTCCCAAAAAAACTTCACCAATCATATGCTTCACCTTCATCCGTCTCCATGACAACTCCATAACCACTCCACCGGACACCGTTGTGGTGTTCAGAAGTGACTTGGATGACCACCTCAACTCTCACGCATCCTTTTGCACCCATTATAGATAGCCTTAGACGAAGCGATGTAGGAGTCAAATGATGGTCATGTTTTTGGAAAATGATGAGTGAACTAGGAATTTTCGGGTTTCGCAAATCTTTTAATTCTCAAAAAACAACTTATATATATATATATATATATATATGTGTGTGTGTGTGTGTGTGTGTATTTATATATATAATTATGGAATTAAGAACACTCAACATACAACAAATGATAATAGTAAGAACACAATGTGTAAATAATTCTGTTTAAGCTTAATTAATGTATGTAGGGTAATCTCAATTGTATAAAATAGAAAATATAAGAATTCTTTATCTACACTTAAGACTACAAAAGTATTTACTGTAGTGCCCCCAGTTGACTACAAAATGTACAATGTGACTAACCTATCAAACTACTACATGAAAATGCACATAGAAACACATAGATATATCGAATGATCTTCCCCTCGATATAGAAAACATTTATGCCTATTAATAGAGAAGTTGGGTCTCTATATAGACTTCAATAGAGAAGCTTCCCAATCACCTTCCCTATTGCCTTCCCAAATAGTTTTCTCAACCGCTTATCAATTTGGCATTCTCAACCACTTCTCAATTAGGCGTTCTCGATCCCTTCTCAATCAGCAATGCCACACTATTATATTCAATATTTCTTGACATAACAATATATATATATATATACATATATATATATATATGTGTGTGTGTGTGTGTGTATATGGGTTGGTTCAATACCTAACCAAAGAACATCACCTAACCACATAACCACTTCATAACCATGAGATTAAACTTAATGCAAAAGGGTATGATGGTAAAAAAAAGTTTATCTTATATTCATATATGAACATATGTTCATAAATGAACATAAGCTTGTATTATATTATGATTAAAATGATGTTTATAAAATGATGATAAATACCACTTTTGGATAAATGTTAAAAAATTACATATATATGAAATAAGAGCAAGATTCAAATTAATATGAACATATGTTCATACATCAACATATGTTCAAAACTAGAAGTTGTTGACTCTAATAACTTTTTTTATACCACACAAATGAGATTGTTCTCATTATGTTGAGTTCACCTTTTTAGCACAACCAAACTTCTATTTTTGTATTTTTGTGTTGGATCTAGACATGGATATAAGATTGGTTGGCATTATGCTAAGTTCTCATTATCTTGTCATGAATACAATAACATTTCCATCACACGAACATATGCTAAATGAGGATGACTAACTCTCTAGAACATAGCAAAAAATACCTTTAACATGGAGAGGTAATATCAGAAATTAGACATGAAACCAAGGTACCAACCTTAAGATTATCTTCTTGACATATAGCTTGTTTAAATATTCTGATACTTGAAGCAAGAAACATACGTTTAAGTTTTAAGCATGATATTTAGCTATATAGAGGACAAATTTGACATTTCATTAACTTAATGCTTACCATTGTAACAACCAAAGATTTTACAATATGATGGTTTATATATGTTATTAGTTCTTGGACCAATGATTAATGCTAGGGAAAAGGATGTCATCAACATCATTCTCATTACACATTTTATTATAATAATTTAACGTGCACATAACAAGTAGATGTACTATGAAAAGTTCTTTAATGCATCTAGAATATTGTTTTTCTTAGCTATGATAATCCAAAAACATTTAAGGATTTTGGTTCACTTATATTGCGTAAAGATTAAGTCATTAACAATAGAAGTTGGTTGAATGCTAAGTAGTTTCCACCTTTTCATGATATAATTTCATGAAAATTTTGATCCACCTTTTAGCATCTTCTGGATTGCTTACTCCTAACTATATAAGTGTGGACGTAACAATTAACAATGCATGCTTCTATAAGAAACTAAATTTACTTTTTTTAGGAGAAAGGAATAGTTATATTTACAATGGCATTGTACTTTCAAGTATCACAAAGCCTGAAAAAAAAAACTAGAATTAGGCATGATGATATAGTTTGTAAGAAGTAACAAACTAAATACAAGACATTTTTAAACAAACATGTTGAAATCTATAAGAAATTACCAAATAGACATATATTATGAAGCTTTCTAACATAAACATCTTTATCTAACAACAATTTCTTAGCTAAATTCACATTTATTTTTTGTGGTTTGGACAGATTCGAATGAGTTTCATACTAGAAGCCCTTGTGAAAGTTGACACCACTATCTGCTCAAAGATCCATGGCATGGCTAGATTTAATTAAAGTAATGCCGAATTAATGTTAAAATTAACTTTCACGAACCATAAAATTAGTAGTATTAAAACTTCAAGGTGACTATGGTGGTCTGCCCACCACTATCGCCGCATAGGGCCCAACAAAAACATGTTGTCATTGACCACTCATCCTGCAACCATGGACACTACATTTGCATTTTTTTTCCTACTCTTTCTTAACTTCTAAAGAGGTGCGAACACAACAAGCATAAGGGAATGGATTTCCCCTACTGGAGTAGCCACCAATGTCGATGGCAGTGGAGATGGCGGTGGTCAGTTTCTGCAACTACAATATTGTCCAAATCGGGTAAGGGGCTCAGATATGATGAGTCTATAAAGAAAAACTATGTATTTCTCGTTATGTGATGTATGTACATGTCCTATTATTCCCTTAACAATATATGATTCTATGTAAAGTGGTATATATATATATATATATATATATATATATATATATATATATATAAGTGAATATACCCTACAAGGTATATAAGCTTAAGTACTCAAACTCACAATATTACGTCATTTTGTATCATATATGCACTACAATGTTCTTAAACTTCAACGAAAAACTTTATTTACTTCTAAAATTTTTGAAATGTCATTATTATCTGCCTTTTGCATATGAAAATTAAGTAAGAGGAGGATAATGGTGAAATTTCTTAAATTTTTGGAAGTAAATCAAATTTAAGAGTTGAATTTTAAGAACTTTGGATGATTACAATATATATATGATTCAAAGTGACATAATATTATGAGTTTAGGTACCTAAGCCTATATATTTTGTAGGGTATATTCCCTTTTCTGATACACACACACACACACACATATATATATATATATAGAATTAGATTCATATTTTCTCAATAAGTATTGTGTGCCTTTAATAACCAAGCATAAAGAAACAAAAATAAATTCAATAATAAATCATAAAAGGGTAAAATAGTAATGTTGACTACATTTAATCCTCGTTAATATTTAAACCATTTAATATCCTTTAAAGTTCGGGGAATTTGTTTTTTGAATTAGATGTCCCTCTAATTACCATCACCAGAAAAATGTCGACTTCTACCCTAACCTTAAATCCTTCAATTATTGACCACAAAACCTGTGTGGCAATCTTTATTGCCGGTCCTCCACTAGTCGTTGCCATCACTCACCTCTATGATGTTCGATTCTATGTCCAGTGAACAAATAAATTGTTGCAAACATCAGTGATCTCGCAAACCAAAAAAAAAGGAACGTACCCCTCTTCTTTAACTCGATGCAAGAATGAAGGCACGAAGAACTAAAGACGATGTATAGAGGCATATTTATGTGTGTATGAATATATGTCAAGATCATCAACGAGTTATAATCGATCTTGAGCATCGATCAACAAAAGTTGATTAAATTCCCCATGTATGTTCCTTTCCCAGTTAGTTTAAGGGTTGTTAATATTTTTTAAATGGTGAAGTCTTACTCTGTTTCAATCCTAAAACTCAGCTTTCTAAGTTTTTTTAAAAGACTGAATTAACATAAAAA